CGCCTCCCCCTGTCCTCCGCCTCCCACCGCCCGCGCCCAGTCCCGCTCCCGCTCCCTCTCCCGGGCTGCCGCCTCCTCAGCGCCGCGCGCGTCTCCCATCAGACTCCCCGCCCCCAGTGCAGCGCCGCGCGGACGGCAGGGCGGCGGCAGCCAGAACGAGGCCGGGCCCTTGGGCGCGCGTCGGAGCCTGCGCGGCGCCGGGCCCATTTCGCGGTGGCACCGAGGCAGACTCTGCCTCGGGGCGAGAGGGCGTCTGGGGCTGAGGCGCCCGAGGACAAGGCGGGCCCGCCGTGGAAAAAGAGCCGGGTTGCTTCCGGACCTGAGCACAGGCAGCTTCACCCTGTCCCTCCTGAGGTTGCTCCTGAGGTCTCTCAAGACTTCTTGACTCTCTGTCGGCTGCTTGTGTGTGTTTTCCCCAGAAGAAAGCGTACATAACAAAACTTTCTCTAGAGAAGGACCAGGTGAGAGAAGACAAAGACAAACAAGCATCTGTTGATACTGTCCCATTTTGCTGATGGGAAAACTGAGTCGTGAAGGGGCCCGAGAATGTAATGAAACGCGCCCAGGTTGAAATTGTAATGAGAGCCAGAAACAGGGGAAAGGAAAAAGGTATTCCAGGATCTCAAGTCAAAGCCACACTGAATCAGAATTAAACTTTCTTATACAGGGTAGTCCAGAAAGCACAACTACCCAGGCATCAATTCATTCATACTTTATTTACAGAAAAGATACTAAGTTCTGTTACCTTATAGAAACTGGAAGAGGTGAGCAAAATAGATCAAGTTCCTGCCTGCTGTCTTATAACTCTTTGCTGTTAAAGAGTTATGAAGGCATGTTAAGTACCTTCAAAAAATTTCAAACCCAAGTGTCTTTAGAAATAGTACAAGGTAAGAACTGTTAAAAATTGGCAGGAATAAAACTAAAGATCATGGTTAATAGCAGGACCACGGATGAGGCGCTGTTAGAAGACTTATTCATGCCTTATTTCATCTTCTCAAAGAGTATCTCAAAAACAGAATCAGCTACAAGAGGAAAGGAAAAGTTTATTTGCAAAGAGGTAAGGGAGTTATGCTCCAGGTCTGACTTGCCAAATAAAAGACAGCAAGATTTTACTCATGTGTAAGGGGAAGGGAAAAAAAGCATAGAAGTTGCCTTTAAATTCATTGTAAGGAAATCTAAGCACAGGAAAAGTTGGAGTGGGAGCTTGGGAATGGTCAGAAAAGGCCAGGGAAGGAGGAGAATTCCTAGCTGGTGTGTTCCATTACCATTGCGTGGGTTTATGAGTTCGGTTGAGTTGCTTCTGTGAACCTCCTTCTTCTCTTCTGTAAAATACTGATGTCAGGGAGAACTGCAAAGGGTTAAGATTAAATAATTTGAAAAAGCAGCTGGTAGAAAAACCAGCTGATAGTAAGCATTCGGCAAGCAGTGCTGGAGATCACTGTTTCTTCTGCTTTTTCCAGTTTGATCAGGGGCTCTATCATACCACAGAGCTGGCGAATCCTAAGTATATTACTGGTAACCTTTAGGCCATTAAAAACGGAAGTGAAGAAATAAACTTTAACAGCTGTGGTCTCAATTCTGATTGTAAACTCCACAGTTAGACTGTAAACTCCCTGAGAACAAGGGAAAGTAGTTTCTCCTTTGTATCTTCCTGAGCTCTCTGGAATGTTTGTTGAATTATTCAATGCTGCCGGGGATAAAAAAACCTTCCCTTGAGATTTTCTCCCAAAGCCAGAGAAGTACATCTTGTTTTTAACTGAGGGAAGAGGCTGAAAGTAAAATTACAGTCTCAAACAAGAAGCCATCTGTCTTCCTTCTTTATAATCAAGGAAAGAGGAGTTGTTTCTCTTAGCAGAGTGAATATGAGAGCATTTCTCTCAGATTATAAAAATCTTTTTAGCTAGTGCAGTTGGTCCATGTAGTAACTAGTGCTTATTTTGTAATTAGAACTGTAGAAGCAGTTAAATATGTAACAGGCTGTGGCCGTGCTTCATAAAAATGTATTTTACTTTTTTGGAGATACCTTCCCTAGACACGGGTGATGAGTGAATATAATTGAAAGCACGTTCCCTTATTCTTGATACAAAATTTAGTCTTCTCTTCAAGGGTTAATAGAACTAGGAGTTCTAAGGTTCGGCAAGGAGCTCTGTAAACATACTAATTACGTTCGTATGCACCATATATGCATATGAATGTGATGTTTAAAAATTATACCTTGTCATTAGCCTGAGAGAAACTAACGCCTCCAGCATTGATATTCTGTACCTTCTAAGAACGAGTCTATTTCTCATCCCCCTCGTGTTCAAAAAAGCCTCATAAAAGGAGTGATTTAGGGGCTGAGGGTTTAACTCATTGGCAGAGTATGTGCTTAGTATTGGCAATGTCCTAGTTTCAACCTCCCCCCAAAAAAGAGTCATTAGAGGGGGAAAATTATAGTTCCCTTTCAATCTTTCTCATAAACAAGTATGCATAGCATTCAATGAAAGCAAACTACAGCAAATTCTGAAGCCAAGAAAGATATTTTTTCCCCTAGCATGATCAGAACACTGACCTCACCACCTTAAACTGTTATCCAGCAAAGCCCCTTAGGAAGAGCTTAGGTTTGTTTTTCTTTTTCTTTGAGGGGGAGGGGAAAATATATATATATAAACTTATGTAAGAACAGCATCTGCACTAACAGGATAAAATTATAAGGCCTATCAATCTTGGTGCTGCAGGGTAAAATCGGATCACTGGCTGAGCCAGGCAGAAATGCATCCCAATGGTCTTAGCATTGCATAATTGGCCATGTGAGTTCCAGGGTTTCTTGGTGCTGGCCACTCACTGAGGAAAAATACTAAACTAATGAACTTCTCAATGATTTTAATATAGCCTGACTCATTCTTCACATGATTTCAGCTTCTGGGTTAACAGATGTATAAATGCAGCTATACATATGGATATCTGTAACTGCTCAGAATAGTCCTCTCATTTAAAAAATGTGGCATTTGATGCTTTGGCTGTGTTCGTTACATTTTAGCACATACTGTGTTCACAGCCACATCCCACAAGAGCACAGTCTTTTAAAACAGCAGAGCCTCAGCTTCCAGATCTGCCTCACAGCCACCTCCTCAAGCATTCACATATCACCCCCAGGAGATGCTCTAAAAGTGAAAACTAATTGTAACCAAGGGCTATAACTGTTCATTCATTACCAGAGACCCAAGATCAGCTCTATTCCAGGCTTTAAAAAATGTATCTCAGATCTAAATGTTAAAACAGAAACATTTAATCTGCTGGGAGATAAAATAGGTAAAACTCTTGAAAACATGGTTGTAAGCAAGGACTTTCTGACCAGAACCCCAACTGTGTAAAAAATAACATCAAGAGTCAATAAATGGAATTGTATTAAATTAAAAGGCACCTGAACAGCAAAGGAAACAACCAACAAAGTAGAGGCAACTTCCAGGATGGGAAAAATTTTTGCCCACTATTTTCTGCCTTGGACAGAGAATATCTAGAATATACAGAGAACTCAAAAATAGACATCCCTCCCTAAATAAAAGACCCAATCAAAAATTGGCAACTTAAATGAATAGACATTTCTCAGAAGAAATACAAAAGGCCAATGAATATATGAAAAAATGTTCAATATCTTTGGCCACTACAGAAATGCATGTTAAAACAACACTGAGATTTCATCTTATTCCAGAAAGAATGGCTATCATCAAGAAAGGCTGAAAAGGCTGCAAAAAAAAAAAAATTTTTTTTTTTCTACATTGTTGGTGGGAGCATAAACTAGTACAACCACTGTGGAAATGAGTATGAAGATTCTTCAAAAAACCAAAAATGGAGATTTCACTCAACCTAGCTATTCCCCATCTAGATATCTCCCCCTGAAAATTAAAGTTATCATAGTACAGTGATGCATGCATAGCCATGTTTATTGCACCACAATTCATAATAGCTAAGTCTTGGAAGTGATCTGTATATCCATCAACAGATGAATGAATAAAGAAGATGTGGTATTTATACACAGGGAAATACTACTCTGCCATAAAGAAATAATAAACTTATATTCTGAGTGGTGTAATAGTTCCCCTGTTACTTTTCTGAGTGACTCGAACAAATTATAATAATTCACTTTATTCCGTAATTTTTTTTTTGCTAACTTCTTCCTGTGAGCTAACCATGTTTGGTTTTTTATTAAGTAGCAGGTGCTAGCTTTGCACAGTGGCAGTATCATAGCCAATGAGGCTGATCTGAGGCGTGATTATTGCTAATTGAAAATTTTTTCTAAGTAGCAGGTGCTTAAACATCAGACCTTGCTGTATCCTCACTTGGGAGTTTTAGCTCTTTCCAGCCTGAAGCTAATGTTGATTTTTATATGGGGGTGATAAGGTGAAATAGGAGGAGAAATGGAGACAGGGTCATGTGTATTAATCTGAGAAGAAAGGAGGCAATTTGTAAAGCAAGGAAAGATATTTCTTTAACAGTATATTTCTACTGAAGCACTACAATGGGCCACACACCTAGCTACATGCTTGGGATTCAAATACAGCTAAGACATATTCCTTGCTCTTAAGTGACTTACAGCCTAGTGATATGGAGAGAAGTTGAAACACAGAATTAGAGTGTATTTTAAAAGTAAAGAGAGGAATGCGTAAGCTGAGCATTGTCCACAGAGACCAATTTATCTTATTTATAAAAAAATGCTATATCATATTTTGTTCCTGTTTATTCCTTATAGTCCAACCTTTGCTAGACAAGTTCCCACTTTGTAGCAAATATCATGAAAGGAGCGTGGTATCCAGAAATGTTTCATTGTTATTTCTTCAATGAATATATTTTGTCTATGGATCTCTAGGAATTTAGATTTGTAAATGCCTATAATGTATGCAAGGAAAGTGTTCCTGGAATATTGAATGATTACTTTTTAAAAATGCATGTTTTTCCTATAAAGCTTGTGAAATAGAAGGTATTTATTTTTAAATGGAAAGCTTTTCTTTGGATGACAGTATAGCCTAACACTTTAGCAAGACAGATAAGATTAACTGCAAAAAACATTTTAAAACTTGGACGCAAAAGATACCATAAATAAACACAAATGACAAACATAATACATGCAAAACCTATATACAAGTTTTATATAACACACATCAAAGTTTGTATTTTAAAAAAACCACTAAAAACATTCCACAGTGAAAGAAATAAAAGGACTAGTAAAATGTGAAATGCTGCTCACCTTCACTAATAATAAAACTGAAAATGTAAAGATTAGGGATATAATTCCTCACTTAAAAACTGGTAAAGTTTTAAAAGCTTAATAAGAACCAATGTCAGGGAAGATCACAGAACCCTATACTCTATTTATGGGGACATAATTAGTTATCCTCTTTCTGGAGAGGAATTTAAAAATTTGTATCAAAATGTAAAAAGTATATTTCCTTGAGGCAAGCAACTCTCCTGGGAATGTTTAATAGTAATACAGTCTTGTTTCCAATAAGGAAAAATTGGGGGAATCTTAA